TGCTTAGCAGTGCTCACAGCCGTCTGTTCACACATCCCAAGCAGTTTTAGTTTTCCATAACTGTCACGTAAAACAACTTAATTCCTGAAGAATTCAAGTGGGACAGAAGAGGATGCTGACATTTATCTTCTCCTGTTAGGAGACACTCAGGTGCTCACAAGCCACATGCCCTCATTAGGGAGATGAAGGCTGAAGCCCAGGTTGGCTCTCAGCTCTCTGCCCTCACAGCTCCTCCTGCACACCTCCCCACACACAGGCACAGAAGCACTCGGATTCACGCTTCTGTCAGCACTGCCGGCTGCAGCTGCCTCCCTGTGACCTGCACGTCACACAGCAGGCAGCTATTACGTAGTTGTTACTGTGATTAGTGGTGCTCTGCCACTGGGGTCCCGGGGTAAGGCAGTAAAACCATTCCACAAGAAACAAACACTGAAAAGGAACCGTTCTCCATGTCTACACACAGACATTCTGTGCGCCCGCCTCTGGATGTCTGTGACCACCATCATGTGAGAACTACACCAGCCATACACGGCTGTGAAGTGCTCATCGCTTCAGAAGTTCCACACAATAAAGGCATCAAGTCGACGCAAATCAACACCTTTCACTTCCAAGGTTGTAATTTTTACCTTATAAAAGCTGACGTTACGCACCACACGACCTGCACCTCCACGTGCCAGGCACCCGCCGCCCTTGGGTCTCAGCACCCGGAACCAAGCACAACAGCTCCTGTTCAGCTCCATTTAATTGCACTTGTAGCCCCTGGAAAACTCAGCTGCAGGCACCGGGGGAAGCAGCGGCAGAACGAGGTCGTCACACCGGGCTGGGGGTCCCAACCCTGCAGCTGTTCAGACCCCTGGGGACCTGGCATAGAGGGATGCAGGCAGTGGATCTCAGGGGGCTCTTCCAGCCTGAAAGGTTCTGTATTTCTGCCATTCTAATGTGATAAAGAAGGTGTTTAAGCCCCTAGAAGCACGTTCTTCAGTCCTATTCTCAGTTCTCAAGCAGACTGTAGTGATTGGGAACTTTAGAGAACAGGCAAAGTATCGGGGGGTTGGACTCGATGATCTCTGGAGGTCCCTTCCAACCCCTACAATTCTGTAATTTGATCTGACATTCTACCTGTATCTTTGACTGCTTTTCTCTGATCTGCCTTCTCCATTCCAATAAAGCCAGCATCCCATGAACCGCAGTCAGATCTGTTAACTTTTCCTTATTTGACTTCAGGAAAGCAGCCTCAGCTGCCCATTGGTTTTCACCTGACCATCTGAAAGCACAACTGCCAAAAAGCTCCAACTTGCCAGACGGAGCGAAGGGCTCCTGCTCTAGGCAGGCCAGGCAGCAGGAACCTGTGACAAGAACCTGCCTCTGGGTAAACTACGCTCCAAAAAAGGCCACGGATCTGCAAGAAAAAAGATCCTTTACAAAAAAAGGAACACAAAGAAACGAACGACAACACTAAACACAGCTTTTCTGACACCTCCTTGCAATTCTCACTCCCTCCTCCTCCCCCCCTGACACTTACTTAGTTACCACTTTGGAACAGAAAGCCTTTATTCCTCCTGTTCTTCAATAACAGGCAGCAAGCGCATCTGCGCTCCCAACCCACAGCCGTGCGAGTCCGGCTGCAGACAGGCTCTGCCTTCCAGCTGGACACGCTGCCGTGAGATCGGAAAACAGGAAGCAGGAGGAGAAATAAAAGCGCGCCTTGGCAGCCCGACGCCGTAACTCACACCTGTGACAGGGCTGCAGCTGCGAGGAGCGGGCGGCCTGGAACCGGAGCTGCCGGCCCGGCTCCGTTCCGCGCCACGCGGCGCCTGGGAGCCGCCCGCTGCCACGCCGTGCCGGGCGGCGCCGCACAGCCGCTGGCCCAGCGCTCGGAATGGCCGCGAGACGGTCGCGGCACGTTACCCCACATCTGCAACTTGCCGCCCGTTTCCATGGGGACGGAGCGGAGCAGCCGCGGGCCGACCCGCCTCCCGGGGTGCGCGAGCACGGCGGCACCGAGCGGAGCGGAGGGACCCGGCGTGCGGGACGTGCGGGGCGGCCCGGCACCGAGCGGCACCGCGGGCGGCACTGAGCCAGCAACAGCCATCTACCGCCAGCAGCGGTCCCCCAGTGCCCGGTCAGGGCTTGCTCCCACCTGAGCAAAGAGCTCCGTTCCTCGAGAGGGGAAGCCTGAACTCCCGCGGTCACACCGCCCAGCGTTGTGCTGCGAACCTCCGGCCTGCCGGAGCTGAGCTGCTGGGAGCCTCCATGAGGAGCGAGGCTGGGGAACGAGAAAGGTGAAGCCGGCAGAGCGCAGGGCATGCAACCGCCGACGCAGACGGCGACAAAAACAATTAGGCTGCCACATTAACACCCCGTAAATCTGCTGCGAACGTGAGGCAGTGCCACCACGTCGGCACGGAGCCCTGGGGTCGGCCCGGCTCAGCGCAAGCCGAAGGTAGAACAACGCCGGATGACTTTGCACGTTGCCCCTCGTGTGCTGTGCGCGGCCGTAGGAGCCCCTGAGAAGGGAGGAGCCCCGGCCTGCTCGCACTTCGGGTATGGGGCACACACACACAGTGCTCTGCTCCCCCTGCCATGCACTTCTGCTCAGCTCAGCTCCCGAGCCCAGCTCACCAGTAAGCAGTCTAGCATAGCTGCGTTGAAGCAATCCTGTTAGCTTCACAACAGCAGTTTTCTGCATTTGGGAAAGCAAACAAACAAACCAACGACTTGTTTGTTCCTTTCCCAGAGTAAGGACAGAAAACACCTCCTGCCTCCATTAACGACAAAAACGTATAAGCCCCACAACACATGGATGCTGTGCAGGGAAACCTTAGTGCCTTTGCTCTGAAGGGAGCCCCGGGAGGGAATGGAGGCACCAGGCTGCACCACCTCTGCTTCTGAGAGCCAGCTCCTGGGCCAGGCAACAAGATTTCTAATGGCTTCCACGGTTATAAGTAAGAAGTCCTACAAAACCCTTACAGAAAGGGATCCATTCTTCTCAATATGAAACAGTTCACAGAGTTAATGACCAACACACTGCCACATACATGCAGGCTTCCTTCACCCCACCTCAACTGCAGCACATCGCAGATTTGGGAGCACTCAGCCCTACAGGGTTGGATTTGCTGGGTTTTTTAGACCTTTTATTTTTTTCCTTTATGTTTTTTTCTCTTTTACACCCAATTGAGAAAATTAGGCTCAGCGTCGCCCAACACTTCTGGCACCGCATCCCTGGGCAGCGGCACCCAAATGGACACATCTCTATCAGCTGCTGTCTGCGCACTGGAAGCAGCCGGTGCCAGTACCCACAAAGATGACAGAACCCATCTCTGCACGTACTGCTGCCTTCAGGAAGCAAACACCAGGCACGCTGCTGCCCTCCTATCGCAGTCAGCTTTCCAACATTTTGCATCCCAGCTCTGAAACCCTCAGAAATATTTCAAAGATTTTATCAGCAAACAGCAGAACACGAGCTGCAGTCTCGCACAGCAGCAGGAACACGAGCATCAGCAGGAGGCATGGAGCAGCTCCCCAGGGGGTTCAGATCAGCCCCAGCAGTGCTAACAGAAGCAGCTGCGTTGGGGTGGCACAGCGCACAGCACCCAGCATGAGGGCAGCGAGGAGCAGGACGCTGCTGGTCAGTGCCAGCCTGCTCCATGCAGGTGCTGCACAGCCCCAGCGCCCAGGTGGTGGCAGGAAGGCAGAGCGGGGCTGCACCACTGCTGCACCCAGCACTGCCTCGACCCCTGAAAAACAGCCAGATGTCCTGCAAAGAACAGGACACCATGCTGCCAGAGATGGAGGGAGCAGACAGGAGAAGCAAATGACAGAGTTTTCCCTGAGAGTCTCGACCTGCAGCGCTCCGTGCCACAATTAAGTGGAGCACAGCAGCCCAGGACCACAGACTGCAGTCACACAGCAGCACAGCATGGAGCAGCAGCAGAGGGCCAGAGTCGGGCAGGCAGCTCCCAGCCCAGAGCCCTGCTCAAGTCAGCCAGGCTAGGCAGCACCAAGCATTTCTATGCCCTAACCTGCACGTGGCAGCACACTGAGCTGAAGGCAATCTCTGGACCTTGTGTTATTACTCATGAGAATAAGCATTTACCTCCTCTTTACACACACCCTTCCACAACCGAAAGGAGTCGGATGCTGGCTCAGGGCAGCTGGGCTCCTGTATGTGCACCACTGGGAAACCACAGGTTAAACGTCACGTCCTCACCTATTCATTTTTTATATCCTTTATTACTGTCTTACTTAAAGTCATCAGCACTGGCCGTCATTCCGCACAATGTCACACACAGAGCCGAAGTACTAACCGCCTTCTTTATCTCAGGAACTTACTGGGACGTCTTAAGGGATCTCCATAGCAACCATGCTGCGCAGCAAACAGGCGGGCAGCCGAACCGCACCACGGAGCGCAGCAGGCACGCGGAGCAGCAGTGCCGGTGAACATCGCAGAGCACTGCTCGCAATCCCCGTTATCAGCGCCAGCAGCTTTTGGCCAGCAGCAGTTCACCCGCAGAGCTCCATTTCCCGGCACAGGCTGCGTGCAGGCGCAGCTCCGTCTGAATTCCGGAGCAAAGTCCCCACCTCGCACCGCTCACCGCTCCTGCCGCCGGCCCGCATTCACGGCCAAACCCTTTCACAACCCCCCGCGAAGGTGCGCGGCCGCGCGCGCAGGCAGCGCGGTGCCGGCCCCACACACCGCTACGGCAACTGATGGGAGCTGGGGGCCGGCGGAGACTCCGACACGCAGCTCCTCTCGGCCCAGCGGTAACGAGGACAAACGAGGGCGAATTACCGCCACGCCGGCGGCTCCCCGTGCCCGACGTACGGCCGCGGTGCTTCCCGGCCCCTCGCGCACATCCCGCACGTCTCCCCACCCCGCCCCGCTCCAACTTTCCCTCCCGCGGCCCCGCGTCGCCGTTCCGACCCGAACTTTCCCGGCCCGCCCGGCCGCTCCCCGCGGATCCGCCGCGCCCCGCAACAGGTGCGGACGGGACGCTCACCGTCCTCCCGCTCGTCGAACACGGGTCTCTTGGAGGAGGAGGCGCTCGCTCCCATCCTCTTTTTCCACTTGCCCCAGTGGAACATCGGGCCGAGCGG